GAGGTATTTATACGATACCCTTGCCATGCAGTATCGCTCGGCCAGTATTCGGTCAACGCATTGACATTCAGTGCTTTATCGCGCAATTGTGTGAAAATAGTGCGCAAATACGCTTCGCTCTTTGGCAACGGAGATACCACGCACTAATCGCGTGACCGAATTCTAATCGGCGCGACCGAATTCTGGGCAGAAAAATGCTCCTTCTTCTTTCGGAAGTATTTTGTATATCATTATTCTATATTTTAAGTGACTATAAAATCCTGTTAGAGGAATAGAGTAGTGGCTCCGGTCTGCGGCTGATCGGCGGGAACTGCCGATTCTATTTTTATTGGAATACTCACAGAATACTTCAATACCCTCAATAAAGAGTCCATATACTTACTTATTAAATAGAAGTCACAAATAACCTAACTGACCCACAGCGTGGTCAGCATTGACCACGTTTCGAAATGCTTCGAGTTCCCCGGTTTGCGGCACGCGTACGTCACAAAGCTTTATGGGGTACGTCACGATGAAAGCATGTACCAAATTACTACGGGTAACCCAAATTCTCATGTTTATCTGTTGCTACGGTAAATTTGTCAAGTTTTAAACAACTTCACCTTTTCCTCGAATGGATCATCCCATCCGGGGGTAAGTACTACTAGAAACTATCGGGTCATAGCGGGTACACACATCAGCACACATACCATCATACACGATCCCGCATGTTATGTGTGTATTAACACCCCCCGCCGCAAACCAGAAAAAACACGTAATTACGTGTAGCCTTAAGGGCTCTCTCGAAATGTTTTTTTAATGATATTATTCGAGAGAGCCTTAAACGGCTCCCATACCCCTGCACGGAGAGGCATGTAAACAAAACTCAAAAGTGGTCCAAAATCACACTTTCGCGCACCCGACCAATATTGGACAGTGGCTTTGATAAATTTTGTCGTAGTTTTGGTCTTAATTAGCGCTTTAATTTCAAAATCGGATCTAAAAATAACAAAATAAGAGCAATTTTCTTACCAGACCGATACAGCTCAGCTCCCTTTTCACGTGTACCGTGTGAATTCACGATGTCTACACAATGGTGATGACCTCTGACTTGCACTTCGTAAATGTGCTGCTTCCGTATAATGCGCTGAATAACACTCATACAGCGCATTATACGGAAGCAGCACAATTTACCCACAATTACGGAAGTGCCAGTCAGAGGTCATCACCATTGTGTAGACATCGTGAATTCACACGGTACACGTGAAAAGGGAGCTGAGCTGTATCGGTCTGGTAAGAAAATTGCTCTTATTTTGTTATTTTTAGATCCGATTTTGAAATTAAAGCGCTAATTAAGACCAAAACTACGACAAAATTTATCAAAGCCACTGTCCAATATTGGTCGGGTGCGCGAAAGTGTGATTTTGGACCACTTTTGAGTTTTGTTTACATGCCTCTCCGTGCAGGGGTATGGGAGCCGTTTAAGGCTCTCTCGAATAATATCATTAAAAAAACATTTCGAGAGAGCCCTTAAGGCTAATTACGTGCCGGTTTGCGGCCACCCCATGCAACTGGCCATGCGGTGGCACAATCAAATTATCTGCGATAGGAGACAGACCACAGCCATCATACTTCCACAAAAACATCAAATTTCACCTCCAATCGGACAAATATCGGACAAATAGAGCTACAATATTGATCCAGTCATGCCTCGATCTCTTAACTTAAAAGTTAGCACCTGCTGGAATTTTCATTGGCGACTGGTGCCGTAGATTTCCGACATCGCTGATGGATACTCCGTACCGACAGGAGCACCTGCTACGGACGTTTTCGGCAAAGCAGAACTTACCGTGGAATCCACGGTAGGTTTCAATGATTATTATCGAGTCATATTCATTTTATTTTTAAAACAAATACCCCTGGCCGCAAACCGGGCGATGCCGCAAACCGGAGACTCTACTCTAGATCCTCTAGATCTAAATTTCTTTTCTTTTGATGGGTAGATTGCCAAATAAAAGAGGTAAGAATTCAAAATATTAGTGACTTCCCCTTAAGTGACCGAATACTGGGCACTCTACCCTAGAGGTCTAGCCTATATGTTATTTTTAATTTGTGTTATTGCAGCAGTTATGAGGATGTAAAGAGTGAAAATCTCGTTGTATATCTCATTCATCGCGGTCCGGTCGAACCGAACCATTTGTTCCGTACAGTGCCTCACAGAAAGAGGTCCCCAGACTTCAGTCTCTATAATCGGAGGTCTAGTACTAGTAGTGGAGCCAGACGTAGATCTAGTCTCAGTGGAACAACCGACGATTAGAGAGACTGAAGCTTTCGGTCTAGACTAGGCCCTAGAGTAGAGTCTCCGGTTTGCGGCATAGCCCGGTTTGCGGCCAGGGGTATCACTTTTCAAAATAAAATCAAAATGACTCGATAATAATAGGGTGTCTGATCGCGCACCCAATGTTGTGTGCTAAAACCCTTCCCATAGAGATTGTACGCTTCCCTATGTGGTCTACGTGCATTGCGCGACCATCCAAAATTGGTCAATGATTTTATGAAAAAATTTGAAATTCAAACCTTTATAACAAATGATCCTGAAGGTGAAACTCAATAAATGAGGTGTCATATGAAAGAGCAGGTTTTTCTCCATATTCCCCATCGGGGCCACCCCCAGAATTCTAAAAATATCTTGGTCAAAACAGCGATTGAAATGTTGTTTGCATCCTAGCTCCAAAATTTGCCACTTTCCTGAGCTGCCGCCCCGCGGCTTAAAGGGGGTGGATCGCCAGTTTCCATGTGCAGAAGACCATAATTCGCTGACACCAGACTTGGTGGAAATACCATTAATGGGGGTACAAATTTGCACACAGCAAACCCATAGTCCAGTCAAGAATTACCCCCTAATCTCTCGGAGAGCTCGAGAGTCTTCGGGCAATTCAAAGCATTACATAAGGTCCAATGGTCATAAAACTCGAGGCTAACCCTGGTGATTGACAACACCTGTTATTGGGTAAACACCCGAACGGTGTCGAATTCCCCATGAGAGCCGACTACTCAGTGACTTTAAGCAGGGCTAGACGTAAGGATAATATCCAGATGCTTTTTTTTTTTCGCTAGCCCCAAGGGATCATTTGTTATAACAGTTTGAAAATACCCTTCCCACATTTTTGGAATCAGCTAATTAGGGAGGCGTGAGCTCCGCTCAGTCCAAACCATGGTTACATCGCGTAACATGTGCGCTTATAGTGAATGAAAGTATGGGTGGCCGTTCCCGCCATAGAACCCGGAAGTGAATACACGTTATAGTCAATGGCAATATCGCGGAGACATCTCCGCGATATTGCCATTGACTATAACGTGCATTCACTTCCGGGTTTTTTGTGCGACGAACGCCAACCATACTAGTCAATGGCACATGTCGCGGAGACAGCGTAGCTCAAGCTGCAAGTCGCGGATTGGCTTAGCAGCATGCGTACGATATGCATACGCTTGCATATCGCGCGATACAGCTGTTTTGGCTAAATTTAGCAAAACAACATCACTCTGCGTGGACGTCTTTTTCGTCGATTTAGACCAAAATGATATGAATATACCAGCGTTTTGGAGGGGCTGTTACTTTTGATAGAAACATCGGTGAGACTTGAAATTTGAAATGTATTATTCTGATATCATTTTTTATTCAAATATCAAACAAAAATGGTGAAAAACGATCCCAAATTGAAAATTGAAAAATCGTTCAGACACCCTAATAATAATCATTGAAACCTACCGTGGATTCCCCGGTAAGTTCTGCGCTGCCGAAAACGTCCGTAGCAGATGCTCTTGTCGGTACGGAGTATCCGTCAGCGATGTCGGAAATCTACGGCACCAGTCGGCGATGAAAATTCCAGCAGGTGCTTACTTTTAAGTTAAGAGATCGAGGCATGACTAGATCAATATTGTAGCTCTATTTGTCCGATATTTGTCCGATTGGAGGTGAAATTTGATGTTTTTGTGGAAGTATGATGACTGTGGTCTGTCTCCTATCGCAGATATTTTGATTGTGCCACCGCATGGCCAGTTGCATGGGGTGGCCGCAAACCGGTACGTAATTACGTGATTTTCTGGTTTGCGGCGGGGGGTGTTAATACACACATAACATGCGGGATCGTGTATGATGGTATGTGTGCTGATGTGTGTACCCGCTGTGACCCGATAGTTTTCTAGTAGTACGTACCCCCGTATGGGATGATCCATTCAGTAAAAAAGAGAAATTGTTTAAAACTTGTAAAATTTACCGTAGCAACAGATAAACATGAGAATTTGGGTTACCCGTAGTAATTTGGTATATGCTTTGATCGTGACGTAGCGCATAAAGCTTTGTGACGTACGCGTGCCGCAAACCGGGTTACGCACGGCCGCAAACCGGGCAACTTTTACGTCTTCTAAAGTGGACAGTACTGACCACGCTGTGGGTCAGTTACGTTATTTGTGCCTTCTATTTAATAACTAAATATATGAACTCTCTATTGACGGTATTGAAGTATTCTGTGAGTAATTGCATCAAAAATAAAATCGGCAATTCCCACTGGACGGCCGCACACCGAGCCGCTACTCTAGGCCTACTATAAACTATGATCTAGATTGATTTTATGATCATCTAGATTGATTTTATGATCTAGATTTGATTTTTTTGACTAGTCTAGTTCTAGTCTAGATCTAGTCTAGATAGATATAGACTAGTCTAGAGGTCTAGATCTAGAGTCTACTACCGTTAGGCCTAGATCTAGACCTCTACACATTTTGGGGAAAATGTCGCCACAACCGCTGTTTGATTTTTGTTTCAGAATCAGATGTCGCACTGAAGCTCCGACGCCTTCGGCGTCGGGGTCGGAGCTTCTTGAAGTTAGCACTGATCCAACCCGCGGTTTGAATCGTTTTCAAAATCTGGCTCTGGAGCTCCGACACCTTCAGCATCGGAGCTCCCTGGAGTTAGCTTAGCCTTAGGCCTAGATCTAGACTATGTTCTTCAGCTTCCTTACCTTTAAATTGTTACTGGTATCGGATGTCGGCATCGTGGTCCAAGCAGATCCATCTTTACCGATTATACAGGCCTTGTCGCAATGGGTGGTACCTGACGCATCTTTGGACTGAGCTATAAGATTGTCGACGTATGAATCCCAAGACATGTTTACGAAAGTTAATACAAGAAAACAGCGTCGAATTCGGGTAAATCGCCGACGTCGAGTATAGTACGGTACAAATGTGTAAACGCTGGTAGGCCTAGTGGTAGTGGTACGGGTTTCACACACAGTCTAAGCCTAGATCTACATCAATCTCGCATGCATGCTACCAAAAACCATTAACCTGATGGCCGTGCGTTAGATAGATCGTACATGCGTGTGTAACACATGCAAGTACCTGCTTGCGCGCGCGCGCATGCAGGTTTTGACGGGATATGAATGCATATGTCTCTACATGAAAAGGGAAGTTATACGTGACGTAAGGGACGAGCATTTAACATTTTGTCACTTGGCTCTGAGATTTTGAATCAGAGCCTCAAAAATTGAAGCAGATTCGTTCTTAAGTTTTGCACATATTGTTACCATTATTATATAATCACAACGCCAAGAGTTTATAAACGTAAATATGCTTTGGAAGGCCTAAATTGGCAATATATTAACAATTGCAAAACCCTCATTATTCGTTCAAAATTTGCAATTTTTTTCATTTTTTCGACCAAACTATTACCCAAGTTTATTGCTTTAAGAGACATTTTACAATGTATTACTATAAAATTTAGCATTAACGCTTATATATATATATTATTGTTGCCAATTTGAAGAACAATATATGATCAATTTAGCCCTGAAAAAAATAAAGCCTGTCGCGAAAGGTTAACACCACTGGTTAAAAAATAATAGCACTAGTTCGCGTACTACTAGAGTTCAGTGAATCTGTTCTGCATACTTTTTACTGGCAAACTGGCTACACTCGACTCTTACAAACGTAACCGCCCTTGCGCGCGCCGGTGGCTTGTTAGGGTGTAGCCAGCATTAACCAGAGGGCGCGCGTTCTGTTGCACGAAATTTGTGTTTTTTCCTATTGGTCATAACGCATGCGTTCATTATTCAAAGATGGAAGCTTAAGCCTGGGATGTTCAACCAGAGCCTGGAAAAGGGGGGGGGGGGGGGCTATTGGTCCAAAGCCATTTTAGGATCCAAAACACCACATAGATCATCTCATTTGGTCTCTATCCTACCGAGGGCTTATTTCCGCCAATTTATTTTTTATTTTTACGGCGTTATAACGCCCTAAATTACGGTGTTATAACGTCCTATCCTTTACTTTGGTGTGTTTTATTATGTGTGGTTCACCTCTTCATGCATTTATAATATATATATATATATATATATATATATATATATATATATATATATATATATATATATCTATAGGGTGAGCGGGGAGTGTTCGCCCTATTTTTTATATCACTCTTCTGAGAGCCGTCATTTCATATACGCAGGACTACCATGATTTTTCATGTACCAATTCATAGGTAATGTCTATAGCTAATATCCCACTCTCACTGCATGGGGTCAGGCACACAGTTTTCACAAAAACGAACTCATAAAGTCAATTACGACAAAAGGGCGAAACTGCCCCACTTACGACAAAAGGGCGAAACTGCCCCACCGCCTGGGGCTGGTTCGTCCGTTTGACGGGGTAGGTACGCCCTGTTAGGAAAAATAAATACACGAAACAAATATGGTGTTTTAAAACTTCAAAACATTTATTTAAAAGGAACCGACAGCCAACGAAATAATCCCTGACGAAGGATGGGAACAAATAAGCTGAACCAAGGTGTATTGGGCGTAGAACAGCTGGTGATAACACTAGGCGGACTCTGAAAAAGGAAAACAAAACTTATGTCAAAATAAATAAATATTATAATCATAGAATCAGATCAAGTTGGATAAACACAGTCGTCACTAAACTTTACTGAAGTTGCCAGGTAAGGGCGTGTATTTTCACTTTCATTAAAATCTAATAATTTTGAAGAGCCCCAAAGGTACATTGCTGAATGGGGTAAGTTCGCCCCTCAATGCGGGGCAAGTCCGCCCCCGGGTGAACATGACCCGCCAAAAACGGGCGAACTAGCCCCATGGGGCTGTTATCGTCGTTTACCTCGTTCTAGGCAAAATGTACAACTGATGTTGACTTGTTCCAACATTTTTTAATAGACACATACAGGGGCGTACGCAGGGGGGAGGGGGTTTTGGGGGTTCAAACCCCCCCCCTTTGGTTTTTTTTTATGTGTGTAAACCCCCCTAAAAAAAACAAAAAACCCCTCCCCCCCCCCTTTGGATTTATTTTTTAAAATTATTATTATTAAAAAAAATTAAAAAAAAAAAATGCCCACGTCTAACCTAAAAAAGGTGACCTTACCCCCCCCCCCCCCCCAACGAAGAAAAATGTCAAATTTTCAAATTTCGAGACCAAAAAAAAAAAAAAAGGGGGCAGTTTCCATCAATAAAAAAACACACAGAAAATGCAATAAATTTTCAATAATTAATTGCATTTTACCCCGGTCCCCAACATAAAAAATCTTCTGGACGGCCATGCATTATGGCTCAAGGCATGGGCACACAGAATAATTGCATGTTCTGTGTTTTTTTTAATATTTATGGAAACTGCCCCCTACCCTAGCCCCCGCTGTGTACAGTCATGGTTCAGTGACAAAGCAATGGCCTCGTAACTGTGAGGCCCCAGGATCAAAACCGTGTCGATGTGCTATATTAGTGCCCTTTTGTGGGGCATTAATCCTCATTACTGTCATTTATAACTTAAGGGCATAGGTCCCCTATTTGATAAGCATAGTAGCATACACATGCTTTAGCAGTCACGCAAAACACACATTGGCAAATTATTATTCAATAAAATCTGAGAATGTATACTATTATATAGATTTATTATTTTTAAATAATTTTTAAAATAATTCCATAAATTGGGATTAAAACAAAATATTCCACCTTTTTGAGCGACAGTTTACATGGCCTTGAAATGGAAATTTTAGCATACTTTTGTATATCAAAAAGCCATTGAATTGTATGTTGTACGGTGTGGCTAGTTTGTCATTACATCACCGGCGAAAGCTTTATCCAATCACCGCAAGGTATAGATTCGAGAGGTGGGCGGATTTGCCCCCAGGCCGGACTAACCCCGCTCTCCCCTACTTTGTGTCATAGGCCGTGCCCCCCCCCCCCGCCCCCGCTAAAAAAAGAGAGAAGGAAGGAAAAGGGAGAGAGGAGAGCTAAAAGGGAACAAGGAAGAAAAAAAAGAGAAGGGTGAAAAGAAGGAACATCAGTTGCGGTTAATCCCGCCAACAACGTATATAGCGGGGTAGGGCAGAAAGCCCTTGCTTCCCCCCAGCAAACTTAAAAGAGAGAAAAGGAAGGGAAGGGAAAGGAAAAGAGGAGAGAAGGGAAAGAAAAAAAAAAAGAGAAAGAAGAAAGGTAGGGGAGATCAGTTGCGATTTTCCCCGCCAACTAGGTGTAATTGGGGGGGGGGGGGGTGGGGGTGGCACTGGCACTGGCGTACTGATAGGGGGGGGGGGGCATGGGGGATATAAATTCAAACATGGTTTATATTTCTAATTCCATAACGGTGGTTAACAAATAATGCTTAATTAAATGACATAATTTTCCAAGAATTTTCCTCACTTTTCAGTAAATTGTACTTTTTTATGCTTTTTGAGATGCCTACAAAATTGTCAGGGCCCACGGAACGGCGGGAAGTTTATTAAAGAGAAAGAAAGAATAGTTAACTACCAGTGTCACAAAATAAGGAGGTACCAAGATATGCTCACCTGACTTTGATTAATTAAATGCCTTATAAACCCCTAAGCTTCCGAGGGCTCTGCCCCCTCAAGTGGATTCTACCTAGGGCCCTAAAGCGGGCCCTTAGATGCTCATCTGACGGTAATTGAGTGCCTTAAACCCCTGAGCTTCCTTGGGCGGACAAGGTATCAGAATAATTATGTCCATCTGACCGCAGGCGTGTAGCCAGGGAGGGGGAGGGGGCGGTTAGGACGGTCCCCCCCCCCCCCCAAAAAAAAAAAAAAAAAACGCGGCCGGCCAAAAAATAAACACAAACAAACAAGAGAGGAGAGAAAAGGAAGAGGACGTAGGAAGAAATAGGATTAGACAAAGAACATTTTTTGAAATTCAGACAAGGGTTAAGGGTCCAGAACGGTACAGCGAAATCGTCTTCTTTCTCTACTAATTTTAATTAAACGTCAAAGCTTCCGCGCTTCGAGAGGGGGGGGGGGGTAAACTGAATTCAGACAAGGATTAAGAGTCGAGAACGGTACAACAAATCGTCTTCTTTCTCTAATGATTTAATGAAACGTCAAAGCTTCCGCGCTTCGCGGAGGATGGAGGGGTTATAAGCACATTCTCATAACGGAAGACGAAAAGACCGTTGATAAGTAACATAAAATATATCATCTATAGATGCGTGCGAGCGTAGCTTTAGGGGAAACTGCTCCTAGTCGTTTGAAACTAGGGGCGCGTTTAAAAATGAGTGGAAAAGGGGACACTTATCAGAAAAGAAAAGGAGCATAATAATGTCAAAGTACAAAGACTAATTATCAGAGGTGAAAATGGGGTGCTTCATACACCCTCAAAAAGAGGCACTCACCAGGGATGAAAAAGTCAGTCATGAGCAGGCGCGTACGCAGGGGGGGGGGGGGGTGTTTGGGGGGTTAAACCCCCCCCTTTGGTATTTTTATGTGTGTAAACCCCCCTAAAAAAAACCTAAACCCCCCCCTTTAAATTTTTTTTTTTTTAATTATTAAAAAAAAAATTAAAATTGTTATCCCCATGGCTGACCTAAGAAAGGTGACCTTACCCCCCCCCCCCCAACGGAGCAAAATGTCAAATTTTCAAATTTCGAGACCAAAAAAAAAAAAAAAAAGTGTCCTCTTACCCCCCCCCCCCCCCCCCCCCCCCCCCCCCCCCCCCCCCCCCCCCCCCACTGAGCGACTTTTCGGCTGGCTGAGTCGTTGCGATTTTTTTTTGGACTTCCTAAAAAAAAAAAAAGTGTCCGCTTACCCCCCCCCCCCCCCCCCCCCCCCCCCCCCCCACTGAGAGCGACTTTTTGACCGGCGCGATTTTCAAATTTTCCAAATTTTTCAAATTTTGGACCCGATTTTAAAACCCCCCCCCCTTCAAAAAATCCTGCGTACGCCACTGGTCATGAGAATAGGAAATGTGCATTTGTTGGTGGAGATGAGGCCCCCATCAGATTTTCATAGGGGCATTTATAATAGGTGAAAAGGGCATTTATGAAAAGGGGATAGGTGAAAAGATGCATTGAAAGAAAATGGGCACCGATCAAATTTTAAAGGGGCATTATTTTATCATTAGGAAAAGTGGCACTTATTAGAAAGAAAAAGGGGCACATGGGAAAATAGAAGGTGCTTTTACTGAGTTAAAATGAGGGTAGTTATTAAAAAGGGAAGGGGCACTTTTTACAAAGGAAAAGGGGCACTTGTCAAAGTGAAAAGAGGCACTTCTCCTACCTGAAAAGGAGCACTTTATTAGATATTAAAAAGGGCACTTATGAGAATTGAAAATGGACACTTATTGCAATGGAAAAATGGGAACTTGTCGAAGTAAAAGGGTCACGTGTCCAAATAAAAGGGGCACTTATATCAGAGTCGAAAAGGGGCACTTAATTGTCAAAGTAAAAGAGGCACTATTCCTATATAAAAAGGGGCACTTCTTACAAAGTTAAAGGGGCACTTTCCTATCAAAGAGGGGCACTTTTGGGTGCTTGAAAAAATGGGGGCACTTCCTCTCCCCCCCCCCCCCTGCCCCCCCGGGTGGGCCATACTTTGTGTAATACGGCCGTACACCTTGGTGCGCACGCAGGGGTTTTAAAGTGACACACTGGTTATTGAGACTAAAGACCTACTTGTTCAATACCCTGCCTTCAAAAGGGAATAATTTTTATAGGAGTACATTACAATACTTCGTTGTAACTTTTAAGGGGTTTTACTAATTATGAACATTGGGCAAGATTGTTTGAGTGTGATGAGAAGGTTTTGGACTTGGTGATGGTAAGGGGCTAGTGGGGGGTGGTCGGTAAAGGGGATATACAGGAGTATACATTACCTACTTGCTTTAGTTAAAGGGTTCTTATAAATTATGAACAGTGGGTAGGATTGTTTTGGAATAATAAGAAGAGGCAAGGCATATTCATGTAGCCTGGATGGTAAGGGACTAGCGGGGGGGGGGGGGGGGGGTGGGGGGTTTGTTAATAGGATATAAAGGGGGCAACCGTGAAGGCCACCGTTTACGCCTAAAAACGTCAAAGGGGTTACCATTGACGTTTTTCTTTTTCTTTTTTAACAAAATCAAAAAAAGTTCTTTGATTTCGTTGAAGTGTGCATACATTTATTTACCTGACCTGCTATTCCCTAATCCCTAACGCTCAAAGGGATAGTTGAGTTCAAAGTGCATGGTTATTGCTTTTATTCTTATTAATGACATTGCTAGTGCCCTTTTAAAACCTAAAATTGCTATGAAAGTAGTTTTATACCCCAAAATGTGTGAATTTAGATTGAATACGATCATACCAATTCAGCTCCACTTTTAAAAAAATACGGTGACCTTTAAGAGTCGTACTGGTTTTCAACTGGTAAATCAACTGGTAATTATCTACTGGTTTTCAACTGGTAAATCAACTGGTAATCTTACTGGTTTTCAACTGGTAAATCAGCTGGTAATCATCTATTGGTTTTCAACTGGTACTCATCTACTGGTTTTCAACTGGTAATCATCTACTGGTTTTCAACTCGAATCAACTGGTAATCATCTACTGGTTTTCAACTGGTAAATCAACTGGTGATCATCTACTGGTTTTCAACTGGTAAATCAACTGGTAACCATACTGGTTTTTTAAATGGTAAATCATGCAACTGGTAATCATCTACTGGTTTCAACTGGTAAATCAACTGGTAATATCAACTGGTCTCAGATGTCAACTGGTATTTCTACTGGTTTCCAAATTGTATCAACTGGTACCAGCAGTTGAGACCAGTTCAAACCAGTAGATATCAGTTGAAAATCCTTACTGGTTTCAACTGGTATCAACTGGAATTTCGACCTGGATATTCACGTATGAATTTTTTTTTCCCAAAACCCCTTACTTTAGACGTCAGCCAATCAAAATCAGTGACTCAAAACAAAATATGAATATGCATAGTCATACCTCAAAGATTTATAAAAATGTAAAACCTACTTACATAAATATAATTTAATTTTTCCTTTAGGTATTTTTCTATACCCTTAGAAATGCATAATTATTACAAAATTACGGTTAAATATAAGGTTTTTAGTTTGATTGTCAAAATAAATAAAAATGAGTTTTTTAAGCTTAGCTGTGAACGAGGATTTGCTAAATCGAAAAATTTGTTTACATTTCTACTTTCATTTTTTCTGTCATCGTGACTCAACCCCCAAAATGCGGAATTTTTCATGTGATTATTTTTTAAAAGCAAAATGTCACGGTTATGTTGTTAATATTAGTCTTAATGTATCTGTGAATTCAATTGTTGTCAAAACCATTGTCTGTACTACAGTGCTAGATCTTCTGTAGTAGGATCTACATCAACATTTAAACAAATGAACTTCAAATTTAATGGTGCTTTTTTTTTACTTCTTTTTTTGTTTTTTTTTTTTTTTTTTTGGTGAATGATGATTATATTAATTGATCTAATCATAATGAAATTTTAGATTGATAAAAAGGAATGAACTGCCTAATAATAGTATGACTATTAATTAGAATAGTCATAGGGGGTCTACTATTATTATTAGGCAAATAAGGCAATTCAGTCCTTTTTATGACCTGCGTAATACTAGTATGACTAATAGTCATACTATTATTAGGCAGTTTATTCCTTTTTATCATTCTGAAATTTCATTATGATTAGATCCCAATTAAATCATCATTCACCAAAAAAAAAAAAAAAAAAAAAGTAAAAAAAGAGCACCAGAAAATTTGATGACAAATATGGGGGCTCAGCCTCAGGGAAAAAACTGCTCCCCCCCCCCTCACCTCTCAATATCTCTTCTTTGTCTTTCTCTCCTTCCATAGTCCATACCCACATCTATACAGCTAGTCTATATGTTATAAATTCATATGTTGAAAATTTCTCAAAGAAAAGCAGACACTACATGGTTTATTGTTCAGTCTTCAGTTCTTTATTCCATGGAAAATGTCCTGTATACATATTGTTCATTGTCTGTTGTCTGAGTACATATATTTTTAAAAAGCAGATGTGATGTTTCAGACCATAAGGTCTAAATTTTTTACTTCCTGTTTTATTGCACAAGGATAATATAATTGATTAGTGTCTACAAACTTGTCTGAGTTGTCACCGCAATGCATAACCAGCTGGGAGTAGACTAGTTCTTCGCCAAAGCCTGGACCTGACAGTGGGCCGACAGACCACGGGAACAAGAATAGAACGAAATAAGTCATAAAGCTTTAAACCAGAGGAGAATAATGAGCTAATGAAATAGCCTCTCTCAACAGCTTATTGTTGCTATTAAGTCATTAATAATTCAATTGTAGGCCTACAGTCAGTAGTGGTTACTATATACAACAGGTAGCCTTAACTGCATGTGCATGATGTGCCAATTAGGTCAGTGCACTCAATTCACAGTAGGCAAAATATTTAAAATTCTGCCAAGAAACTACTGCCTGTAAATAGCTGTAGCTGGCTAAAAAGATGTGCCTACCTTTTGTGATTTTTACATACATATACTTCTTAAAATTGTTTACATTGATAATGCATATACCGTATGTACTTGCTTGGAAGCGCAAGCAAAGCCATGCATGTGCAAGAAGTTCAGGCAGACCTTTAGCTTTGATCCTATACTATTCACAATAGCATTTTTCATGTACATGAATTAACTATTACTGATACCCCTTATCTTGCAGTGTATTCAGACAGAAATGGACCAACAAGGGCAACCTGTATCACATAGTGGCAGGATTGGACCAAGCCAAGTGGGTGCGTATGAAGCCTGTGACGTGTACACAAATTTTTGTGTATTCGTTCTTTAAAAAACTACACATGAACCATTTTTAGTGTCCGTTTGCATGCAGTCTAGAATGGGTGTAAAAAGTTGTTGCTAAACTAAATGATATTCCCCAAAATCTACATTCAATAACTTTTATTCAAGATCATGCTAAAATAGGTGAAATAGCTTAGGTCTATATCCAAGGTCTACGTCTATGCATCACGCACAAAGTTGATATCGTGTTTATATTTTCTGTCAAATATCTCGTATGCACTTATTGCACGGAACACGGAAGTGGCATGCACACTCAAAACTCACTGGGTCCATAGCAACCCTCGTTGTACCGTTGTACTGTTGTACAAGAATCATTTTGAAGCCTAATCTCGGCCTTACGCAATTCAGCTTAATTCGGAATGTGTAATTAAATCAGAAAAAACATATACAATGCGGTCACATATGCGGTCACATATGCGGCCATGAACAAGTGTGTTATCATATACAAGAAGAACTAACTCTTGTTCTCTTCTTTCCCATAACAACGAGGGTTGCTGTGGACCCAGTGAGTTTTGACAGTATGAAGGAGTATGTCTAGGGAATTATTAAATCCTCTAAGATCGGATTCAATTGTATTGAGATGAGAGTGTAGACTCTCAATTCCCTGCTCTCCCATCAACCCAAATGGTGCTCTCCACCTCCTCAGCCATGGTATTATATGGTCTTCAGTCAAATGAAGTTTAGGGGGTTTGTTTCAGTTGGCCATTTCTCCCGGAAAAAGATGAGGTATGCTTTGATGTCATGGTCTGAAATGATAATTTTAGAAGGCAATTATAGCATAGCAGATAGTTTAAGAATTGTTGATATATATTTTATTTCATTTTTTTAAAGTAATTATAATTTTATGTTATGCCTATACGTTCTGAGTTCAAAGTGCCCTTGAATGACTTTATCTTTTTTTTCTTTTTTTTTCTAAAAGGATCTACAAACTCAAGTGGAACACATATTATGACAGGTTGGCCAACATCATTGTAGCATGAAGGTTTGAATCAAGTCTGCCACAAATAAAGATAAGTTCTGTGACAGTGTGTTTTTTGCAGTAGGCATATTTATTGAGGCAAAAATTAAAGTAGCAAAAACATGTATAGAAACTCACCAAGTTGGGAGATGTCTTCGTCAGTCATGAAATGCTTCAAATTAAAGGCCCTGTGGCACCTGCCATAAAGATTCAGCAGAGTCCTGTAGGATGCAGCAACTTCTTCTGCTTCCTCTTTAAGGGACGGGCAGAGTTTGGTTGTTGTTTCCACGATTGCTGTTGTAATAATGGCAATGTTCTCCTCCTGTTTGGGATAGAAATAGATTTTAACAAACGTATAAGCCTGAAATGGAGAACAAATATACTGGCACTTCAATTGTAACTTTGACTTCATTTGAAGTGTGTTATTTAATTTAATTCTTCAATTTAAGGTTTGCATTTTCGTACATGATTGTTATTGAGAGTAAAAAGTGAAAATATACCTTCAAGCATTTGTGGACATGGTTCCCGACAAAGGACTTGCCAAGGTACGCCTGCCTCTTAACTTGCATCCCCTGCAGGGCCCTGTCTAGTGATGCAGCAACGGGTCCACTGCCTTGAGGGACCTTTGGTAGCTTTTTGACTTCTTTTTCCTGTAAAAAAAAGGAGAAAATGTATTGTTGGTAGAAGATAAGAATGATATCATGATAAGTATAATATGTGGGGGGGGGGGGGGGGGTTTCGTATGGTTGACAGAAGAATAGTTACCAATTGTTTCTTTTCCTTTCCTTATCTGCTGCAGCTTCTTGCAACATCTTCACTGGCTGACTCTCATCAGGATAAAGAGTGACGAAGCAGGAGAGCTGTTCCAGCAAATCTTTCTCCTCGGATTCTGCTTCAGTGATTTTTCTGTGTAGAGATTGGTGCTGGATGAGGCATGCAAGTCCTTGCAGGTTCACTTCAGGTATTGTTGCTGCATGCGACAGCTGCTCAGCAATCTTGACATCCAGTTCATGGCACTGTCTCTCCATGCTTATGACATGCTTGTAGAAGAGGCCCAGACTAATATGGAGCCCTGGGGGACATACCTGTAAAATTGACCCATATCAATTCAGATTAGGACACTCAAAAATATAACATTCATGTTTACTTTTAATAAGTTTAGTTTAGAAAGCTCACAGCTGTGAGTATACAATGCTATAGGTTGACTTTATTATGAAGAGTTTTGTTCAGCATATTGTTAATTGAAATTTAATTTCTTACCTGATCTATAGGAATTCTGAAGAGGCTCCCTCACTACATTGAAGTGTAGCTTAGCCACTTCGTCTGTCTTAAATTCCTCTAGGTTCTTCTGCAGACTTGACAAAGTTCTGGATGGACTGGGTCCCCGGACATGTTGAGGAACCACCATCTGAGCCTTGGCGATTTCACAATATAGACAGCAGTTCCGTCCTAAGGATGTAAGTTATAAATACAATTAATGCCTTGATATATATGTAGGGAATTGTTAACTAACATACATATACAGATTGAGAGTATGTTTAGTCCAATTGACAATGTACACATATGGAAGATATGTGTTATTTTTATTACAACCAAATCATATTATTTACTCATACCATTTGGCCCTGTCAGGAACTCGTAGTCCCCACACAGAAACAGACGGAGTGTCTTTCCTCTGAAAAATAAGAGAAAATTAAAAATCATGAGACAATTTGTATTTATTTTGTATTGTATTATATTATAATCACACACTTTCATTGAGAAAGATTGTGACAAATATTTTTTTTTTTAGAAATAGTTGTTCTAGTATGAGTCAGTTTTTGTATAGGGAAAAGATTAGGGAGAGATAAAATATCCTGGGAAAAATTATTAAATTTCTTCACTTCATGTTCATATCTCCACGTGGTTGCCATGAGCATATCCACCTGCTGTGAAAACTCCTGAAGGGCAAGGGAGAGGTTGAAGGTGTTGTCCCCAGCTTTGAACACAGCAACAATGACTGTGTTCCTCAAACTGTTCGGGTTGGTTAAGTTGGCCACTTCAATAGCCAGTTTAAAAGAACTCCCGCCTTTATCACCTCCAAGTTTGAGCCAAATCTCGTTGTTAGGAATTCCATGGCTCCAGGTTAGGAGATTCAGCCTGCAAATAAGGAGTCGTCATTAATTGAATTAAAAGGCCAGTACGGAAAGACAAGCATTAAAATTATGAAGCTAAAATATGGTGCTAGCATTGTGAAATGAATTTATTTCATAAATAAAATAGTGATTTGGACTGAAATAGATTGTTATGTATACATACTTGTCGTAGTCTTCTAGAAGCTGTAGCACTTTGTGCTGAAGACCGAAACAATTACCATAGGGGCTCTCAAATACTCGATGCAATGGAGGTCATCATTGTGGAACTGAAAGGGCAGCCACTTGCCAACCAGATTATCCCCAATTATTTCTGCTTGCTGAGCTCTACTGGCCTTTTCTTCCTCCGAAAGGACTTTCCGCTCTTTCAACCATCTGGAATGAATAGATAGGTAATGGTGTTTTTCAATAATGTAATTCAGCCTCAAGTTAACATAATGGCTGCTATTAGTTCATGATGTCTGTGTTTACCTTTTCAGCTTTCTGTGTCTTGTCCAGCTGAGACCAAGTCCAACCTTCAAGTCCAGCATTTCACCATCTGGAATCCGAATGGATGTGCCAGTCATTAGTGAGTCCAGATCTGATGCTAGTTTCCGGAACTTTACCTCATGGGTTAGTTGGGCTAATGTTGCTCCTCCACTCGTTAAGTCACGAGCCTGCAGTAACGTCTCTGAGCGATGTCTTAATGTTGATGGAGCACATTGATCTGAAGAAACTTGGGCTTTGTGCATAAGCACTGTTACTAGTGGCTTGTTAAAAAAGACAGATCAGATATGCCATTAGTTTATTTTTGGCTGAAAAAGGGGGATGTTGAATACTTGTCCGTCAAATTATATCATATTTTAGTAACAGTGTGGCCAAATTAGGCGTGGGGGGGGGGGTGGTGGTTGCTACAGAATATTTTAAATACATTCCTGCATATAAGGAAGAACACCCACTGCTATATATTTCTTATTTTTCTTTTTCTGGGCTGCCAAGGGGGGGGGGGGGGGAGAGGGCATATGCATAACAAAAGGGAGGCTTGATTTTTAATCTTTTTATTACTTGATTGAGATATTTTGGATGTGTGTTGCAACTTAATAAATTTTAACATACACATATTGTATTGTACACATTTTTAAAATTACAGTCCACTTCAATTATTAGGAGGATTTCAGGACCAAGCCAATTTATAAACAAAATTTTGTTTTTTCTGAACACATAGACACATGTGCGCAGGTTTGAATTCGGAATTGGGAAAACTGCCTCGTTTTAATGAAATCTTGTTGTATCAGCGCTCATTATAATTGAAGTAGACTGTATATACTTCTCTTGAGAACCTATCATGATCGTATGAATAAAATATAAAGTGAAAATCCATTTTAAGTTAGTTATGAAACACATTTTATTATAAAAAATATAATTGCTCAGAAAAATTTTATCCTCGAACATGTAATGTAGATAATTAATACATATATAAGAGATCTGATGTAAGGAAATACATGATATAAAAGCTAATTTCTCTGGTCAAAATGAAATCAATTTGCTTTGTTTTTGTATTGACTACTGATATAACAAGATACCTGGTACATGTAAAACAAGCAAACTTTGTCCAGTTCCAAGGACCTCATTTTGGGGATTTTCCACTGAAGGCTTATATTAATTTAGTGAATACGCAGATCTTGTATGAATCATGCATTATAATAAAATTAGAATCATATTAATTTTATGAATACATATATTATTTTATGTTTACCTTGCCCTTTGTGTGAAAAGTTGCTGTGCCATCGTTAGATTCTTTTAACTTCTCTTTAAAAATGGCCGTACCCAACAAGTATTTTTCGATGCGGGAGAGATTTGTTGGTGTGACATGTGTGTGTTTTGCGTATGTGTGATCATGTGTGTCATGTATACAAGTGTGTATTTTAGCGTTGATGTATGGTAGGTTTGTATTGCAGACTGTGCATATGATGTTGTGGAGTGTATTGTGTCGAGGTGAAACTGTGGTATTAGTGTGACTGATGTGTAGTGAATTGGTGTTTGACAGGTACAACATGGAACACTGACACGACTTGCACTGACAAAGGACTTATGTACACAACTCAAACAAAATACATGCTCACATGAACCCACACATGGATTAACCAACACATTATTATACAGTTTACACAACATGAAATGATCTGACGAGATAATTTGGACATAGAATACGCAAGACAATTGTTAAAAGTGCTGAAAAATGGGCTGACATTGAAATGGCTGGATTTGGGGTCTGCCAGTTGACTTGGTTTTGGGGGGCCTCGATCCCACCCTTAGCTGGTATCATTAGGTTACATGTAGTGCAGGCCTCCTCCGTTCGTTTGTGTTTTGTCCAATCATTTTTCGGTTTCCAGTCATTGATTTTGTTGCGCCTATTGGAATTACTTAGCTTGCAATAGCATTTATGACAGAAAGATTTGGGGTGAATTACATGATCATTACAAAATTAAAATCAGAATTGTCCCACAAATGTTGGTAGACCTCTAATTACAAACAAAATAAGAATATCCAGAGCTGATATTATATAGCCTACCCCCACAAAACCTACACAATTTGCTGAGAGCAAGCTTATGGGCGTCCTACCCACTCATCTTCCCCACACGCACACGTACGTAAACAAAAAGTGACCCTACTTTGACGGCAAATTCTGATGAAAAAAAATGAAAAAAGCTATAATCTAAGTTTATAAACTATTAACTCAGTATTAAAAAAAACTTAATACACCAATAGATAGTACAGAAAAACTCAAATAAGAATATAGCTGAGGTTTGAAATGAAATGAATAAATGAAATGATAATTTATGTACTTAAATGACTCTTGTAACTCTCCCCTCGTACGTGAACTGAAGGTCCGACGTACGAAGGGATTACTTAATTTTTATATCATTCGCCTGGCCCTGAATTTCCCGGGGCCCCTTGGGAACCTCTTACTCATGCATATTCATCGTTTGTTCTGACCTCTTAGCCAATCATTTCTCTTTTATCCATGCCTTCTCTAAAGCTGGAACCTCCTCACGTCGTCCCTAGCAACCTCAAAAATTTAAATGCCTCGCCAAATGAAGTGCGCCTCGCACGCTAAAAGCAGAGACAATGTAAACAATACACCAGTTTACAGTTGTGTGCGCCATTTTAAACAAAGCCAATGACCTAGAGGTCATGTATTTATGCGTAATTAAGATTGCGCCCATGCAAATTTATGATAATATCACTGCCTGCGCGCTGCGTTGTGCGCGCATATCATCATTTGCATGGGCGCAATCTTAATTTACGCATAAATACCAGAGGTCGACTTATTGGCCCCGGAACAGGGCCAATACACCAGTTTACAGTTGTATCAGTGCGCATGAGCAGACATGTTGACCTCGGGTAATTGGCCCCGGAACAGGGCCAAATTGGCCCTGTTCCGGGGCCAATGACCTCTGACCTCTGGTATTTATGCGTAAATTAAGATTGCGCCCATGCAAATGATGATATGCGCGCACAACGCAGCGCGCAGGCAGTGATATCATCATAATTTGCATGGGCGCAATCTTAATTTACGCATAAATACATGACCTCTAGGTCATTGGCCTTGTTTAAAATGGCGTACACAACTGTAAACTGGTGTATTTGGCCCTGTTCCGGGCCAATGACCCGAGGTCAACTGTCTGCTCGATCATGCGCACTGATACAACTGTAAACTGGTGTATGGAGCGCTGCACCACTGATCTCTACGGAAAATAGAGATCAGTGGCTGCACTAAGCTGACGTACGTCTATGGCGCGCGCACGCACACGTATACGTGTGTACGTGTATGCATCAAAGACGTTTAAACAAAGACGTTTAAATATAATTACCAGACGGAAAGCAGCACGCGCGGAAACCATGCAGACGAATGGGATTAGGCTCGCTCCGCCTCTTTTGGATCATTTGAAGACAAAATAAGCACCCGAGGCGGCTTTTTGATTGGATAAGAGCCTCATGAATATGTATTTTATCGATAGTATCGTTTAAGAAACCGGATAATATTTGACCTCATTGCGTCACTTTAATTATGCAGATTTATCGCTACTACACTCGCACAAACTGAGAAGATTTAGTTCATTGAGAATGGGTGAGTAATTGATTGAAATATATAGTTTAAGTGAATTTAGTCATCAATTTTGAAAAAGCTACAATATTCTTCGTGATCTACGGTAATTTCGTTTCATAATTGAGACAGTTCTCAACAGATTGTTTGGGAAAACACTAGGAAAATATTGCTCTTGAAATTGCACTTCGATTTTTATCGTCATGAAGTAGTTTGACTGCGGTTTGCCGTCATTTCACCCTAGTACTCCAGTTAGGGACCCGGGGTTTCGGTGCTCATTTGCATCAAGATCAAACTTTCAAATCAAGTTTTATTTCAGATTTGATCGTAATCATGAATCTAATTCACCAATCATCGATTGAGTTTAAATCTAGATTTAACGTTACACCTTAAAATAATCTATGAAGCATGATTTTTTGATAATCCAAGTGGATTAATTCTTGTTAAAATCTTTAGTAGATGTGGACCCTGATTGCTTTATGAAGGGGTGACCAAAGTTCGCGGACATTTTAGAACATATTACAAAATGTGATATTCGATCTATGATTTCTCACATTCTACACAACTTTATTTATTTCAATTATTACCAAATGGACGGCAAAGTTTTTTTTACTACAGATTGGTTCAACTAGAAAAATTTACCGTCGAAGGATTTCGGAGATATCGCGATCTAAAAATTCGATGTCCGATCGTGCGCGCGCGCTGCATCTAAAAAAGTCATAAAAACAATGAGACCTATAACTTCACGCACGGTGGTTTACAGTTGATTTATCAAAAAACGCGATCCATCAAAAATAAGGTAATATCATAATTTGCAAGGCAAGATATCGTACAATCAGTTCGTACCACTCTTTACTTACAATTTTCAGGATTTCTGATCTCAAATGAAGATTTCCAGACCCTTATCGGTAAGTTGATAATTTTTTCGGAACGGACGCAAATAACTGCAAAATTTGCCGATCTTTTGTCAATATTTTCACAATTTCGCAACCAATTCTAAAGAAAATTTCGTTTCTGGGTAATTTTAAGACCCTCTTTCCATTGGTGATATCAGATTTTCGAAATCTTACCGATTTTTTTGAGAAAGCGAACTTTGGTCACGCCGGCGAACTTTGGTCACACCGCCATACTTATCATCAGTGCCATCCGTTCGCTCATAGTATAGTTGCACCATCGGTACGCGGTTAGCCTATAATCTAGGCGGAGCGCCGAGCTTTTTTCTTTGCTGCTAGACTAACCCTAAGCAGAACGTCTGATACGGCCAGGCGCGTAGCCAGGGGGGGGGGGGGGGCGGTGGGGGCGGTCGCCCCCCCCCAAAAAAAACGCCGGCCAAAAAAAAAAAGAGAGAGAAAGAGAAAAAAAAAGAAAGAGGACGTAGGAAGAAAAAGGGAAAAGGAGTCGAGAACGGTACAATGAATCGTCAAAGCTTCCGCGCTTCGCGCGGGAAGGGGAAACTGAAATATAAGTCGGGAAAGGTACAACGAATCGTCTTCTTTCTCTAATAATTTAATGAAACGTCAAAGCTTCGCGCGAGAGGGGGGGGGGGGAACAGAATTCAGACAAGGATTAAGAGTCGAGAAAGGTACAACGAATCGTCTTCTTTCTCTAATAATTTAATGAAACGTCAAAGCTTCGCGTGAGAGAGGGGAGGGACTGAATACAGATAAGGATTAAGAGTCGAGAGAGGTACAACGAATCGTCTTCTTTCTCTAATAATTTAATGAAACGTCAAAGCTTCGCCCAAGGAGGGGAGGGACTGAATTCAGACAAGGATTATGAGTCGAGAAAGGTACAACGAATCGTCTTCTTTCAAAGCTTCCGCGCTTCGCGCGGGAGGGGGGAAACTCCCCCCTTCCTGCACCCACCCCCCTAGGGAGCGCGCTTTGCGCGCTCTTTAAGTGATTCGCACGCTTCGCGTGCTCACTACCGCCCCCCCCCTAAAATGAAATCCTGGCTACGCGCTTGGATACGGCGAGACTACGAACCGTGAGTCGCTAAGCGGCTCACCGCCTATAATCACTGGTCTAGCTTTAGTCGTTGTTTTTTTTTATTATCGACCATGATCCGTGGCAGTTTTTTCGTACGAAAAAACCTCATGAATACGAAATGAACTCACCAATCAGAAACACGTATGGAGAAGAGTCTATGCATATGCATATTATAAATCACGTGACATTACGTCATTTTCTTCATCCAAGATGGCGGGTAGTTCATGCGACGACGATCTTCTGCGAGAAAGTTTATCATATGCGGCCCAACAAACTAGGCATTCCTAATGAAAATTCAGAGAACTGCAGGAATCCGCTATTCGTAGCGTTATTGAAGCCGGCAGGGATATTTTTGTTGCATTACCTACTGGTTTTGGAAAGAGTGCAATATACCAAGCAATCCCCTTGTGCTGTGATTTTCTATGCGACCACGGATTCTATGATCATGATGACTCGAGACTATTTAGCGGTCCATTCAAAGCAAGGGGGAACCACTAATTTGTAAATTTGATACGATAATTGTTTTACCATACAAAGATATATGTTTTATTGTTCACATAAAACTACAATTTTTTAATTTTTTGATATTTCACAGTAGTAAAATGATCATTTTAAAGATTTTTTTTGGTTTCATCTCCCCTTCTTCCTTTTTATTACCCCTATTTAGTAATGGACGAGCGCAATCTTTTTTCGTTGCGGTTTCTTATATCTGATTGGTCGAACGTAACATAGGTGTACCTTATTTGGTAGGGCTGTTGAATGATTCATAGATCCGCCATTTTGAATATATATGAATATTGATTAGCTAGACCAGTGATTATAGGCGGTGAGCCGCTTCGCGACTCACGGTTCGTAGTCTCGCCGTATCAGACGTTCTGCTTAGGGTTATAGTCTAGCAGCAGGGAAAAAGCTCGGCACTCCGCCTAGATTATAGGCTAATACGCGGTGCGTGTCAACTTTATTTAGGGTCTAGGCCTATATTAAGGCCTACCCATAGGAAAGAAATGAGCCTGCCGCATACTCCTGCGGCAGACTTGCCGCAGATCTGCAGCAGCAGCAACCTGCCGCAGACAGTCATCTTTTTCACATGCAAATTAGTTTTGCCGCAGACTTGCCGCAGACTTTGCCGCATACTCTTTCAGTAATGATGAAGAGGCAGGTCTGCCGCAGCAGACTTGCTGCATGCAGACCCGCCGCAGACTCTTCGTCATGAATATTCATATCTCATATAGACCTGCTGCAGACCTGCCGCATACTCTTTCATATCCAGTACATGGCAATAAAGTATGCATGTAGAAGAACCAGTGATAAACTGATTGATACTTCATAATCTCCGTTTTATTACAAATATACCAAATAAAAAGTCCAAAGACTAACAATAATTGGCTTACAATGTATCATATAAAAATGCATTAAAAACAGTAGATTTAAAAATTCAGTAATAAGTTGAATTACATTGCTCACATTGTATCATATCAAAATGCATTAAAAACAGCTGAATTAAAAATTCAGTAATAACTTAAAGTATGAAGGAAAAAAAAAAAAAAGATTGTACGTTATAAAATTGTGATAATCAGTTTGTCAGTGAATTGAGAAGAGAGAAGAAATGAAGAGTGAAAAGTGGAAGAGAGGGAGAGGGAAAGGATAACGAGAGAAAAAAGTTCAATTCATGACAAAAAAATGTAAGCAAATGAACGAGAATTGAGTTGATTCAGCTTGAAGCATTGTAAAAGTAAAATGCACATAATACGGAAATGTCAAATGATACATTAATACGAATGCCATTATGGAATTGTTATTATACTGTTTAAAATTGGTGAATGTCAACGACCTATACATATTGGTGAACATTATTAATGAGTAATTATCACATTGTCAGAAAATTGAGAAGAGGAAATACAAGACAGAAATAGAGAAACAGTGGGAGAGGGAGAGAGGGAAAGGAGAAGAGAGAAGAAAGAAGAAATAAAGAGTGAAAAGTGGAAGAGAGGGAGAGGGAAAGGATAACGAGAAAAAGAGAGTTCAATTCATGACAAAAACAAAATGTAAGCAATTGAACGAGAATTGAGTTGATTCAGCTTAATGAAGCATTGTAAAAGTAAAATGCACATAATACGGAAATGTCAAATGCTACATGACTAAGAATGCCATTATGGAATTGTTATTATACTGTTTAAAATTGGTGAATGTCAATGACCTATACATGTTGGTGAACATTATTAATGAGTAATTATCACATTGTCAGAAAATTGAGAAGAGGAAATACAAGACAGAAACAGAGAAACAGTGGGAGAGGGGAGGAGGGAAAGGAGAGGAGAGAGAAAGAGCTAGAGAAAGGGAGGAAGAGAGAGAGAGAGAGAGAGAGGAGACGGAGAGAGGGAGAGAGTTCAAAATGACAATACATAAAACAGATCTAACAAGATTTCAGTTGATCGAATTTAGCAAACGAACAAGAGAGGGAACTGCCGATTGTTTGTAACGCTGGGTTCTGCAACGTGGAAGGGACAAATGATCGGAGTATCTTAAACTGCGGCAAGTATTCACATGGCGCGGTTGTGGCAGGAGATGGCGGTGTCTTTGAGAACCCAGAAGTGATTTCGCAAATCGCGTGAGGATCTCAACACGTCGGCTATCAAGAGATGAAATGTCAAATTGGTGAAGAAGGTCATCATAGTGAGAGTCAGTCGGGTAACAAATCATGCGAAGAGCTCTCTTCTGTACTCGTTCAATTTCAGCAGACTGGCGCAGGGTTAAACTTGTTCCCCAAACAGGTACTGCATACTCTAGTATTGGTCGTATGTACACAGAGTATTATGAACACGAGATCCTCCGGTTTGACACCAAACTTCTTGAGTTTACATAGAATGAAGAGGCAATATCGATATTACCAATTAGGTAATACCAATATATATATATATATATATTACCAATTAGGTATATTCTATTCTCAATTGTATTAACTTCATCACATTGATCATTTGAAGTGTATTCAAGAGTAACATTTAAAGTGACACAGGCTCGTACACATATATATACTAAATATGTATATTGTTTCTTGGTTAGTATTCATAGTTTCTTGGTTAGTAATCAATATATCTATTGCTTAAACGTGAATGTAATTGTAACATGATCAGACAAAATAATCTATTGGTTAATAATGGCAAAAGGAAGATAGAAATCACAAAATGATGTGCATTGTCTTAATTTGCTTAACAAATCATGATAAATGTATTTTTCTGTCACACGTGTAAAGTAATAATGAATATGCATGAGATGATTGGTTTCAATTGGCCCTATTAGACTTTAATGGGATTTCCTGTGGCAGACCTGCCCGCAGACTGTTCCTGTGGCGTACTGGTATGCGGCAAGTCTGGAGCAAAGTTTCGCCCTGCCGCAGATCTGCCGCAGACTGTTCCTGTGGCATACTAGTATGCGGCAAGTCTGGAGCAAAGTTTCATCCTGCCGCAGATCTGCTGCCGCAACTGTTCCTGTGGCATACTAGTATGCGGCAAGTCTGCAGCAAAATTTCATCCTGCCGCAGATCTGCCGCAGACTGTTCCTGTGGCATACTAGTATGCGACAAGTCTGGAGCAAAGTTTCATCCTGCCGCAGATCTGCCGCAGACTGTTCCTGTGGCATACTAGTATGCGGCAAGTCTGCAGCAAAATTTCATCCTGCCGCAGATCTGCCGCAGACTGTTCCTGTGGCATACTAGTATGCGGCAAGTCTGCAGCAAAATTTCATCCTGCCGCAGATCTGCCGCAGACTGTTCCTGTGGCATACTAGTATGCGGCAAGTCTGCAGCAAAATTTCATCCTGCCGCAGATCTGCCGCAGACTGTTTCCTGTGGCATACTGGTATGCGGCAAGTCTGCAGCAAAATTTCTTTCTGCCGCATACTTCGGCATACTCTTTGCCGCAGACTAAAAGTCTGCGGCAGGTCTGCGGCATACTTTTCACTTTCCTATGGGTAGACTCTAGACTCTAGACCAAAATTATCTGTGACCATTGATAATCAAACAACTCCAAATCCTATTTCATTTAGATGTAAAACCACTTATTAATAAAAATATTTTTTTTAAAAACAACACTAGGTCTAGAGTCTAGGATTTGTTTATTTAATAGTGGGTCCAGTGTGCTTGTCAAGTTGTCATTAGAATTAGACTGAGAGGTCTGTAATAACTAATATAGATCTATAGACTAGAGTCGAGACGAATCTAGACCCCTATTAATTTTTAGAGATTTTTTTTCTTCTCCAAATTGTGCAGTTCATGTTGATAAATATTTCTTTTTTGTGTGTGTAAGAGAAGAACCCTAGTCCACAATTATGTTTACTTATGTAGACTTCTAGTCCACCTTTTCTTCTTGTTTTAATAAACCAATTCTACTTGAAACTATTTTATATTCATAGGCCATATAGGCCTAGGCCTAAAGCACTTGTTGAGACACAAGTTACATCTTCCATTTAGTTTTACTTTGTACTGTGGTCCATTAAATAGGAATGTTGATTTCCACACCATATTAACATTAAGGCCAACCATGACATCAAAAATAGCTGTAGTTAAGGAAAAAGGGACGCCTTGATTTTCATACTGATTTGTTTTTCTTCTTGTTCCAACAGATTGAAACTGAAGAAGGCTGGAAGGAGTTAGCTGATGAGTAGACATTACAACATTTTTTATAGTTGCAAGATGACGCAGAAAGTCCCATCCAGGTAAAAAAAAAAATCAGGATATTTAGCACACAAACATAAAACGACCACCTAGTAATTCACTAAACAGGAAATGTTACTAAGTTTATGTTGCAAGCGTATACAGGGGCAGGGGTGGGTCCAGGAATTTCTTGCCGGGAAGGGGGGGGGGGCCGGGGCACACGGTGGGAAAGAGAACATATATATATATATTTTTTAAGTCCCCCCCAAAAAACGACTCAGCCAGCCGCTGAATAAGCGGGGGGGGGGGGGGGGGGGTAAGAGGACACTTTTTTTTTTTTTGGTTACAAATTTTTTTAATTTGACATTTTGCTTCGTTGGGGGAGGGGGGAGGGGTAAGGTCACCTTTTCAGGTAAGCTTGGCATATTTTTTTTCTTTCTTTTTTAATAATTTTTTTTTTGTTCGGGGGGGGGGGGGGGGGGGGTACGCCCCCTGTTTTTCAGTACATTCTGGGCGAATTTAGGGCTGATTTTAACATGTTTTTTGGGGTCGGAGGGGGGGGGGGTGCCCAAAAAACATGTTAAAATCCCTCCGACACCAAAAAACATGTTAAAATCAGCCCTAAATTCGCCCAAAATGCACGTGCCCCCTGTGCCCCCCCCCCCTGGATCCGCCACTGAGGGGAGGGTATATTTTATTCAGTTCTGCACTTAGCACACAAATATTGATGTCTTTCCTTTCTTTGTTTACAAAGGAAATTTGTCCTTATTTACAGGAGGTCCTGTGTGTAGAAGAACCATATCTAATGCACATTCAAAGCACTACATGATCATACATGTAGGGTATACACAGGACCCCTCATTACTTTTTTGCAAGTGCTTTCACTTCTTGAGCAATGAAGATGAAGAAGAACACAAAATAAGATCAATGAAATTATGTAGCCATTAATATCAATTTGTAATTGAAGTACCTACATTGTTTTCTCTCATGTAGGATGATGCTTCGCTACAGTGGATGATGAAGCCATGCTGGTTTACAAACTCAGGAGAGGAACAAAGAACAGATATTGACGGGATCATATCTAGAGATGCAGGCCTACTACACTTCATACGAGCAAGTGTGCTATTAAATATACATGTAGGTACCCCAATAAACTATTGTGGAACACATATCGTGCAGAAAGTTATAGATCTGACAAACATATTTTTCATTGTCCGTTGACTTGTAAAAGAATACTTGACTGAATATCACAATTGTGATTTAGATTAAAAATAAAATGTCAATATAGATGAACTATAAGTCTACATTACGTATGTTTCAGTAGCATTATTTCCAGCACATTCTCTGGTCTAACTTGTTTGGTAAATTTATGTCCCATACTTAACCGAGTATTATTCAATTATGAGCATGAGTTTACAGTACAAGTACATTGTACATGTATTACTTATTTCATACCTTGCCTGATCCAAGCTCCAGCAGGCCTATTGTCTTAATGGGATCATCTGAAATAATCTAAGATGTGGTCAGTATCTATAGTCTTGTAGGAAATATAGTTTAGGTTTGCCCACTAGAACCCCAAGTAGTTTTGGTCCTTCCTCATTTTGTCAGAGCAGGTATCAGGGTGTATGTTATTAGTTATTGTTGATTTTCTTATAACACTGTATCCTATTTCATTTTTCTATTCAACAGACTTGGGTTATCATTACAGCCCTTTCTTCTGAAAACTAGGCTACAACTTTATTGATGGATGCAGAAAACATCTACATGGGACTACGTCTTAAAGATGCCACCCTCATATAAGGAAAGAGGACAGTAGAGATGGGTTCAAACTTGAATATTTACATACTATTTATTTATTATTTGTATCATATGTTTGTAGAATACCACATTTAAAAAAAGCTAATGAATTTATCATCTTATCAACTTTCAAATAATTAAAGATAACTAATCATCAATGAATAAACATTAGCATTTTAACAATGTTAACTACCATCTTATGGGAGGACTGCCTGGGCAGAAAGATACTCCTTGAAATTTGAGTGATAAAGATCTACCAGTCTATATCATAGATTGAATTAATCAATGATATTTTAGTTATAATTATACATGTTGAAATTTATGGACTTCTGTATTTGAAGTTTTGTAGATTATTACATTATTGCTGCTTCAAGTATTGTGTGTAAGAGGGTTTGAAAGACAACCCTCTAACAGTGGCGGATCCAGGGGGGCCCAGGGGGGCCCGTGCCCCCCCCCCCCCTTGAGAAAAAAATCATGTAAAATCACGTGATTTTTACCTTTTTGGGGGTTGGGCCCTCCCCCTGCGCTCAAAGGGGGGGGGGGGGGTCAAATTGAAATTTTTTTTGAGGATCCAAAAAAAAAGAGAAAAAAATGTGCTCACTACCCCCCCCCCCCCCCCCCCCCCCCCCCCCCCCCCTCAGCGAATTTTTGGCCGCGCGCGTTTTTCAAATTTTCGGGAGCAAAAAAAAAAAAATTGTGCTCTGTACCCCCCCCCCCCCCCCCCCCCCCCCCCCCCCCCCCCCCCCCCCCCCCCCCCCCCACCCCCCCCACTGAGCGACTTTTCGGCCGGCGCGATTTTCAAATTTTCGGGAGCAAAAAAAAAAAAGTTGGGCTCCCTCCCCTAAGAAATCCTGGATCCGCGCCTGCCCTCTAAATGCACTAAATATGGAAACTGCTAATCATCATTTTGCCTTTTGTATCCAAACTGCTAATTTTAATAGAATCATGTTTTGATACTTCCTAGCTTAAGGAAACAGGGGGGGGGGGGGGGCTTGTTATCCTCTTACATGGACCATGTAACAGGTTGCAAAAGTGTAAACAATATTATATGTTTATATTAAATGGATTTAGAAAATGAAAACTTTTGAATTATAGAATTACTGTTGCTAGAAGTAATGGCAGTATTGATGTGTAAGGGAAGGGGTAGTTTTCCAAGTGAAATTAACGGTATACCAATGTCAAATTAATAAAAAAAAAAGTGAAAAATATTCTTAAAAATAAGATTATAAAGGACATGGGCCTCCTAACTAACTCTGGTACTGGACCACTTCTGTTTTTTTTTTTTTTTTTTTGGGGGGGGGGTGGAGGGGAAACCCAATTCAAAATTTCCAGTGTTAAATTCCGTTGTCTTTAAACAAAAATTATGTCAAGATGTTGAAAAACAATGTTTCACTTTCCGTTTTCAAGTTAGAAAATTTGAATAAATGATTAACATATTTTCCGATTTCTCTGGTCTATACATTAAAAATGTTCAAAGCTCCTGCAAAGGCTGCAAAAAGGAAAAGTGAAGATAATCCAAGAGAAATGTGGACAGTAATGAAGTGAATATGGAATGGTTGATCGTAGTTGATAACGAGTAAATGTAAATGAGTGGTAATAACAACTACGACTGAAAGTGAGACAGAAAGGAACTGCAACAGGTTGTTCAGTCAAGACAACAAACCGTAATAGTTGCAGAAGATGATTTACGAAAGAGAGAGAAGAGAGAGAAAGGGAACCATTAAGGTATGATGAGAGTGGGTGGAGAAAAACCATCCACTTTGCCACATAAATTGTTTGTCTAAAATAAGGAAACTTTATACATTAGCATATTTAAAATGTATAATCATAGCCAGAGAATGAGTTGTTATATGGCTTATAGCATGTTTGATTTAATAAAACAAAAACAGACCCAGTTATTGATAGACTAAAAAGGGAATAATCATTATTTCTTATTCAATGCCAGTTAAGGCCACTCCCCCATATTAAAAAACAACAACAACACAACAACGAGAGGAACTTTAGGTCCACTTCCCGATGCATCCTGGGTACACCAGCTGTTATACTGGTGATCGATAATGCAAGTTCGAGTGCGTATTTCACCTAACGGTGATCGCATCAGAATAATTCCACGCTGATTCGCTGAATCACTTGCGTTGCGAGCGCGTAGCGTGATGAATATTACCCATAATTCCGTACAGTAGATTATTTGACCTCTCTAATTACGCTGATACGCGTATTGTCTTTTACCATGTAGTGAACATAATTCCAGTACACTTTTCGTGGGGAGCATCCTACAGAATGCATAATAAGGCTCATGAATTATGCAAGGGCTTATTTTGGCTTCTAATGGATCCGGACAAAATGGCGGAGCTTGGGGGGCCTGCGTTTAAATATAATTACTAGACGGAAAGCAGCACGCGCGGAAACCATGCAGACGAATGGGATTAGGCTCCGCCTCTTTTAATTGGATCATTTGAAGACAAAATAAGCACCCGAGGCGGCTTTTTGATTGGATAAGTGCCTCATGAATATGTATTTTATCGATAGTATCGTTTAAGAAACCGGATAATATATTTTACCTCATTGCGTCACTTTAATTATGCAGATTTATGCACGACGCTACTACACTCGCACAAACTGAGAAGAGTTAGTTCATTGAGAATGGGTGAGTAATTGATTGAAATATGAGTAGATTAAGTGAATTTAGTCATCAATTTTGAAAAAGCTGCATTAGTCTTCGTGACATTTGGAGACAGTTCTCAACAGATTTTTTGGGAAAAGACTAGTAAAATATTGCTCTTGAAATTGTACTTTGATTTTCATCGTCATGAAGTAGTTAGACTGCGGTTTGCCGTCATTTCACCCTAAGTTAGTACTCCAGTTAGGCCCACCCCGGCCGGGAATTTCGGTGCTCATTTGCATCAAGATCAAACTTTCTAATCAAGTTTTATTTGAGATTTGATCGTCATCATGAATTTAATTCACCAATCACCGATTTAATGGCAATATCGTGAAATAGGCCCCGCAAATTACCCGTCTTGTAATCGATTACAAATCATCTTGGACTTCTAACTTCAGTCTTCAGCCAACTTTTCATGACGGACAGCAATAAAAGGGAGATAAAAGTGAGTTAAAAAGGGGGTTGAAAGGGACTTATTTTTTAAATAAAAATTATGAGGAGGGGGGGGGGGGGGGAGGCACGTAGCCACGGGGGGGGGGGGGGGTGGGGGCGGCCCCCCCCCCCAAAAAAAAAAAATGGAAAAATATTTAACTAAAAGATAAATTTAAAGAGAGGGGGGGGGGGTGGGGGCCCCCCCCCCAAAAAAAAAAAAAATAATAAATAAAAGATAAATTCAAAGAGAGGGGGCCACAATATTTAAAAAAAGGAAAATATTAAAAAAAGGAAAAATATTAAAAAAGGAAAAATATCAAAAAAGGAATAATAAATGTTTAAGAAGGTAAAATATTAAAAAAGGAAAATATTAAAATAGGGTCTAAAAGATAAATTTAATCATTAAATGTAACCCTTTTAATCATTAGCTAGCTCTAGATCTATTTATTAAACCTCAAAACACGCCCTAAATTATACTTCGGTGAAAGAAGCCCCACTACCGTGCTGTCCGTCTTGAAAATGCATAGGATGGGGCCTTGTTCACGAGTATATAGTCGTGATACAGGCCCCATGTCCGTGTTGTAGAACATGCAACGCCGTTGCGCGGGGCCTATATCACGAATAGACTCGCTAATATATCGTGATACAGGCCCGCTGCTGTGTTGAATTGTGCGCGATGCCGTAGCGCGGGGCCTATATAACGAGTATATAAGTATAGTCGTGATACAGGCCCGCTGCTGTGTTGAAGTGCGCGCGATGCCGTTTCGCGGGGCTTAGATCACGAGTATATATATATAGTGAGTTGGCTGAAGTTAGAAGCCTAGTATAAAATTATAATCGATTCAAAACAGTTGCGGGGGCCTATATCACGAGTAATTTAATTTAAATCTAGATTTAACGTTACACCTTAAAATAATCTACGAAGCATGATTTTTTTGATAATCCAAGTGGATTAATTCTTGTTAAAAGAGTCTAGATGTGGACTCTGATGGCTTTACTTATCAATATCGGTGCCATCCGTTCGCTCAGTTGCATACGCGGCCGCGGTGCGTGTCAACTTTATTTAGATCTAGTCTAGACCTCTAGACCAAAATTATCTAGGATTTGTTTATTTAATATTTAGATTTCGTGTGGGTCCAGCGTGCTTGTCAAGTTGTCATTATACTAGAGTCTAGACCAAGGCCTACTAGATCTAGATCTAGACCCTAGCTATCACTGGCGTACGCAGGATTTTTTCAAGAAGGGGGGGGGGGGGGTGGTTTAACATTTTGAAATCGGGCCAAAAACTTCGCAACGACTCAGCCAGCCGCTGAATAAGCGGGGGGGGGGGGGGGGGTAAGAGGACTTTTTTTGGGGGGGAGTCATCTTTTTTAGGTCATCCATTAGGATTTTTTAAATAAGTTTTATTTGAAGAAAAAAAATCAACACTCAAAAAGGGGGGGGGGGGGGGTTTCCAGAAAAACATACACATACAAAAAAAGGTCAAGAGGGGGGGTTAACCCCCCCCCCCTGCGTACGCGCCTGACCCCTATTAGACTAACTCTTTTAATATATTAGAGTTTTTTTTTCTTCTCCAAATTGTGCAGTTCATGTTGATAAATCTATTTGTGTAAGAGAAGACCCCTAGTCCTCAATTATGTTTACTCATGTAGTCCACTTCTTCTTGTCTTAATAAACCAATTATACTTAAGACTACTTTATATGTATAGGCCATATAAAGCACTTTTGAAGCACCAGTTAAATCTTCCATTTAATTTAATTTGTACTGTGGTCCATTAAATGGAATGTAGATTTCCACACCATATTAAAATTAAGGCCAACCATGACATGTAAAAAAACTTTTATGCTAGATCTATTTTTATTTTGTTAAGGAGAAGGGACGTCTTGATTGTCATATTGATTTTGTTTTCTTTTTGTTCCAACAGATTGAAACTGATGAAGATCGAGCTGGAAGGAGTTAACTGATGAGTAGACATTACAACATTTCTTATAT